GATGGAGAAAAAAATTATAATGATGTCGAGAAAGCTCTTACACCATTGAACAATTATCAATATATTTTTGTTGTTGGACAAGAAAAGAAAATCTTTTTACAGAAATATATTCATTCTACCATTATAAATTTAGAAAATAATATGAAACTTCGAGCTTGCCAAAATTATTTTACAAACTGTCCTATACATTTGGACACTAGATTTAAGTGTGCCGTAAATAATATATTTAAGATATTTGTATTCATTGAACAAAACTGGAAAGAACTTGGCTACATACTAGACGATGAAATTAATAAAGTTAATAAATAAAAACAAGCAACTGTATTATTTGCATAAAACTTTATTTAAAGCATTAAAGGTAATGAAAGTGAACAATAATAAGAAAATGGGTGAACATTTACTCGCTCCACGACCACAAACATCTACACCAATTTCAGAAGGTGTACAATTCCAATTTTTTGAAATAGTTGGGACATTAGTTGTTTCACGCCCTTCCAGTAATGGGCAACGATATGTCAACCTTGAATGCTCAGTAACAGGACAATCAGTTTGATCCCAACTATGAATGTTTACTTTACAAAAATAACATCTGGTAATATCTCCTACTCCAGTATAATAAAGTCCTACTGCAGCCATTGTCTTGGGATCTGGATAATTTAAAGGCCAGCGAGCAAAGGTTTTTAAGCGTTCGTCTTCCTTATTAAGAAGAGACATCTTCCTTTCTAAAGCTTCACTAATAAACTGAAATATTTCTCTGCACACATTAAAATGAAAACAGCTTGCAATTTTTAGTTTCAAACAAAATATTTATTTACTTTTCAGTTTATGTTAAATATGGTTGATAAAAATAATCTGGTTGATCCAAATGTTTTAATTCTAGTTTGTAAAGACTCTTTCCGCTTCCATCTTTCAACACAGTTTTCGTCACAGAATAACCCCCACCAGCTATTTCTTTTATGTATTCATCCGCCAGCGAGAGGAATCTTGACGGCAAATAGAGGATAGCATCATTAATTTTCAGCACAATTCTTTCCCCATATTTTGTATTTGTTCTAAAGGCGCCATGGATGTTGTATTCTTTGTTATCCTCCATTTCTTTCAAAGTTATTATTTTTTTATAACTGAAAGAATTGAATAAGTTTATTAAATCTGCGTTCGCCATAATATCACGTTCAATGTTTAATTTTATACTGTGAGCCTTACTTGAAATTGTCTTCTATATATAGGAATATTTAACGCGAATTTCACAATATTACAGAGTTACTAGAGTTTTTAATTTTGAGCATAGTTAAGCATGTTCTCATTCATGCTCCAATCTATCGTTGAAGCAGAATTTGTCATGAAACTCTGCAACAACGCTTCCCCCCAAATTCTCATATCCATTTCACAGAAATCCAATTGTTAGTTAATGTAAACAATGGTGTTTCCTTCTTCAAATCCCTTCAATCTTCAATACCGAATTGATGCAGGGTTTGTCATGAAACTCTTTCAGTTTCAATTCTCTCAAATTGCTACATAATGTAAACAAATTCTTCATCGACAAAACTATCAAAAAGCGATCGATATAATGTATCAAAATGCCTGTCCACACAAGAAGAATTTGCTTTGATTGGCTACAGCAGCATTTTTTAGTGTGTATATGCTACAACATTAATTGGTGGTTAGATGTCGCCTATATCGTTTCGAGGGAAATGACTGGAGAGCCATCTGGACAAAATAATAGAACACACATCTTCTTGTTGACTATGATACTAACCAAATTTGTCTCTGCTATATTCACTTCTCATATGGTGGATCTCTCTAGCCCCATTCGATATGATCATATTTCAATAGTTTTGGAGTGTGTCTATGCTACAACATAATTTATGGATAGTATGGATGGAACTCACCGTTAGATGTCGCCTATATCGTTTCGATGGGAATAACTGAACATTTTTGAGTCGCTAAAATTATAGACAAATTAAAACAAGTACAACGAAAAGTTAGTTTTGTCTTTTTATCTCATCATGTTTTGCATAGCCAACATGCTGATTTTCGTGTTCAACCCACTCGACTTCGTTATCGTTTTTCTTAAAACCCCTGAAATATCAATAATTGCAGCATATTTGTCAATTGAAACTCTTCTATAATATATCACATTTATTGAAGTCGATTTCTTGAAATATATGTTTTCAAATAAATTAATAAGCACATTTGACTGCAGTAATCAGCATGTTGACTATATAAAAGCATTCTGAGAGCCATCTAGATAAAATGATTTTCTTCGATACTTACCTCTTTCAGATGTGTTTCTGCTATATTCACTTCTCACATGGTGAATCTCTTTAGCCCCACTCGATATGATCATAATACTTTTTTTTTTTTTTTTTTCGGAGGGTGTCTCTGCTAGTGGTGAATATTAAAACTTGAAATGTCACCATCCCATACACAGTTTTGGATTGTGTCTGCGCTAAACTTAGCGCCATCTAGTAGTTCATATTAAAACTAGCAACGCCAACGCCAACAGCCCCAATAAAATTTGACGTGGTACAATTCAAAAGACAACATCCCCAATATAATTTGCCGTGGTACAATTCAAACGACAACATCCCCAATATAATTCACCGTGGTACATTTCAAAAGACAACATCCCCAATATATTTCACCGTGGTACATTTCAAAAGACAACATCCCCAATATATTTCACCGTGGAGAATTTACCCTAATCAACATCCCCAATAGAATTTGCCGTGGTACAATTCCCAAGACAACATCCCCATTAAAATTCACCGTGGTGAATTTACCCAAATCAACATCCCCAATAGAATTTGCCGTGATAAATCGTGGTGAATTCCCAACATCCCCATAAGCACACTACTTCGCTAAAATCATAAAAATACCGAAAATATGGAAGTACCGTTATATGAGGCTATACCAAAACGTGGACCTACATGGCCCGTTTTCAATACCTTGTCATACTGCGAGCCAAACAATGGACTTATTGAAGGAACATGTGACGGCAAAAATCGTGTCTCATTTTTGCCGCAACAAAATACTTTTTTATTGAATTTTATTCTTATGTTTCCAAGTATTTTTTGTAAACAAAGTACAGTTCGCATTTATTGCCATATCCAGATGAAATTTTGCACATATCATTTGTTTGGCCCAAGGACGAACCCTATTGAAATTGGAGATAATCGGTCGAAATTTAGATATAGCTCCCAAATATATCTTCGTCCGATTTGCCCTTTTTTGTGCACCAAACGTGCAATATCAGCCCAAATAGTATGGAATTTTGCACATACAACCAAATTAGGCCTGAAAATAAGTATGCCAAATTTGATCGAAATCGGTTCAGATATAGCTATAGCTCCCATATATATTGTTCATCCGATTTGTTATTTTTGTCCTCCGCAGCCATAATATGCATTCTGTAACAACAATGTTTGGGGAAATATATCAAATGCAGCTCAGAAATACCTTTGCTAAATTTTATCGAGATCGGTTCAGATTTGGATATAGCTCCCATATATAACTTCGTCCGGTTTACCATTTATTGTGCACCAAACGTCTAATATTTGTCCAAATGGGATGGAATTTGGTACTTACGACCGAATTGAGTCCAGAAGCTAATATGTCAAATTTGGTGAAGATCGGTTCAGATATAGCTATAGCTCCCGTATGTTCATCCGATTTGTTACCCACAGCCGTAATATGCACTCCGTAACAACGATTTTCAGAGAAATATATCAAATACCACTCAGAAACATCTTTGCCAAATTTTATCGAGATCGGTTCCGATTTGGATATAGCTCCCATATATATCTTTATCCGATTTCAAATGGGCAATACAAGTCCGAATTTAAAAGATACAAATGCTTCGGCATATTGAGTCTTTTGAACATTAAAGTATAATTATAATCGTAGCGTGTATGATTGAACTCTCCCATAAAAACTTTTAATTGTTATGTGGAGCTCTACTAAATTAGCAAAGTGGTGTAGGGTATCATAAAGTCGGCCTCGCCCGACTTGAAGACTTTCTTTACAGGTTTATGTTATTTTAAGTAATGAATTTGTATAATGAATTATGTTAATTTAAGTTAATAGTAACTACTAAAGTTTTTTGATTATGCGGCTATGTTTTTTGAAGAGATAAGAATGTAGTATTAGAATAGTACAGTTGTGCCCAAAATATTTTATATGAAGACATAAACAAGGTCCCGTTAGTCCTGACGCCAATGACACAAACAAGATCCCGTTATTGTACAAGTCACGTGGTCGACTCAGCAACAGAGGGCCGACGTCGGGAAGGCCATTGGAAGTAGCCTGGAATTCTCTGTCGAGAGCATATAGGACAGAAGAGGCCTAGCTTGGGGATCAGTCTGTGGTGTACCGGCGAGCTAAGTGGAACGTGCGAAACAAATAATCCCACTCACCTGGTAAGTGAAACTCCAAGTGTTAAGTGAAAATTCAAGTGCCGTCGAGGGCCTTGGATATTGAAGAAAATAAATCGGAATTTAAGGGGAAACTCAAGTGCCGTCGTGGGCCTTGGATATTAAAAGGAATTAAATCGGAATTAAAGTGACAATCCAAGTGCCGTCGTGGGCCTTGGATATTTAAAAGCAGATAAATCAGAATTAAACTGAAAATTCCAGTACCGTCGTGGGCCTTGGATATTAAAGGAATTAAATAGGAATTTAAGTGGAAATTCAAGTGCCGTCGTGGGCCTTGGATATTAAATGGAAATAGTATACAGTATTTTTCGGTTAATTGAACCTACGGTTAATTGGTTTCCCCGCTTAATTGAACCACATGATAGGGCAAAAAAATATTGAATAGGAAAACACATGTAAATTTCCTCGGATAATTAAATCCGGTTAATTGATTTTCCCGCTTAATTGGTTCAAAATTCTTGTCATCAAAAATAAATTTCCTCATATTTTTCCCCGGATAATTGCATTATTATTGAAAAATAATCTGGCATCTTTTAATATACACATGTGACATCACTTGTAAAAAACATTAGGTGGCATCTCTACTAATTGAAAACATATGTTCATTGCTAAGGAAAACCGCGAGAAAACGTAAGTGTTTAATTTGTAGTATTTGACAATAACATTGGAAATACATTTTATTTTATTGTTAATTTTTTGTAGGCTATGAGTGGAAAACGATACGTAACTCTTACACTAAAGGATAAGCTTAAAATTTTATCTGAAGCTAAATGCAAACAGAAGTCTGAGCTGTGCAAAAAGTATGGGTGCTCTCTTAACACATTGAATATAATTTTGCGAAATGAGTCCGAAATTAAGTCTAAAGCCTCCAAGTGGAAATTGTCAAGCAAGCGTGTACGGAATGGAAACAATATTGACGTTGAAAGAGCGCTTCAAATTTGGTTCGAACAAATGCAATCATCTGGTGCAGTGATTTCCACACACATGTTGATGGAAAAAGCAGAGCAGTTGGCTCAACAAATGAATTGTGATTTTACACCATCAACAGGTTGGTTATGGCGCTGGCAACAGCGACAAGGAATTAAGCTGAGAAAAATACATGGGGAACAAAAATCTGCGGATTCAAATGCGGCGGAAGATTTTTTAAGTTCAGTTGTACCAAATATAATTTCAGAATACGAGGAGGCCGACATTTTCAACGCGGATGAGAGCGCTTTATTTTTTAAAGCTTTGCCTCCAAAAAGTCTTTGCAAACAAGGATACCGTAACACTGGATTCAAGTCATCTAAGGAGCGCGTAACATTACTTTTTATATGCAATGCGACGGGTAATTACAAAAAAGTTATTGTAATCGGAAAGGCTAAAAACCCACGTTGTCTGAAAAGTAAAGTATCGCCCTTAAAATACTATTCGAATCAAAAAGCATGGATGACAGCCGATCTATGGAGCGAAATTATTCTTAATTTAGAAGAAGAAATGGCTTCACAGAAACGAAACATTGTTCTGTTTGTAGACAATGCGTCTTGCCACAAGAAGCCCCAAAATTTGAAGCACATAAATATACAGTTTTTACCAGCAAATACAACAGCAATAAGCCAGCCCTTAGATCAGGGTATAATTCATGCCTTCAAGTCATATTATAGACAGAATATTGTTAGAAAGCAGATTGTAGCTATGGAGCTAGGGAAGACAGTTGAAGAGTTTTCGAAGTCAATTAATATTCTACAAGCAATGCATATGAGCGCAGTTTTTGGATGGTTAAACCAACGTCTATTAAAAACTGTTTTAAAAAGGTATTAAAAATCGGATTTTGTTTTTGTTCATGTTAGCAATGCTAGGTGTAATTTTACAGGCGAAGTTAATGAAGACGTCACCCGAAGAAGAAAATGAGGAAACTGAAAGTTCCGATGAGTTTGAAATAGCGGACAATTTAAGAGAAGAATTTGAAAAATTCGTAACATGTGACGACAACGTAGAATGTAATGGAGTGCTCACTGATATGGAAATTATTAAAAATATTTTGGATTCGGCTGAAGATGAGGATGAAGAGCAAGAACATGATAATCTAAAACCTCCATCAGTTCTAGAAGCTTTAAAATACATACAAGAACTTCAGACATTTTTTTGTACCGAAAATAAGTTCCTATGTGAGTTAGGTAATATGGAGTCTTATATCTTATCAAATAAATTAAAAAATACACAAACGAAAATTACAGACTTTTTCAAGTAATTCCTTTAAAATGTAAACAAGATGTTTGTTTTTCTTTTTTAAATAATGATCTCGAAAAGTGTGAATATGTACGACATGAATTTATTTGTCCTTTTTATTTTTTAAACACTATGTAATATTTTAATACCTACGTGAATGAAGGAGCTTTATGTATATGTACATATATGAATTGTTTTTATGCTTTAAGTTTATGTTCTTTTTTGTAATACCTACATATGAATTGTTTTTTAGTTTATAAATGTGATTTCTTTGTACATCTAATATGGACATAAATAAATAAATAATTTTAAATACTTAAAATGCTCATATGCGATTTATTTTAATCCATTGGTAGTTCAAATTATAAGTGATTTATGTAATTGAACAAACCGTTCACTTAAGCGGGTATCGGTTAATTGGATTCTCGGTTAATTGAACAAAAAAATGTGCAAATTTTGATGTGCAATTAACCGAAAAATACTGTATAGGAATTTAAGGGGAAATCCAAGTGCCGTCGTGAGCCAAGTACCAGCAGTGAATCAGCTTTAATACAACCAGCCATAAAACGACCACAGTAGCAGCAAGCCGTAGCACCTGACAACAGACATAAATATATGTATCGAAATTTGTAGTCTTTAAATTGTTTCGAATAAAGCGGTACATACTGAATTTGGAAACGAAAAACTATCGCTTTCACTCTCAGTCACTTCAATATAAATTTTCTGTGACGAACCCTACCCCCGCGAGCGTATCCCAGCGACCGGAGGAAACTCGACGTTACAAACATTTCAACTACAACAATCTTTCGAGAAATGGACCGTTAAATTGGCCTCCTCAAAATCTTGTGATTAAATAGACTAAAAGTTCACTGTATAGCTCTTGGAGTTCTTACTTTGAAATTTGATGTCTATCTTTCGAGAATTACTACTCGACCGATTTGGAATTTTATAGCCAAGTTTGAATTCAGTTTTGCTCTGATATGAGTATTAATTCCCAGCTTTAATTTATTTCCAATACTTCCATCATTTAATGCAAATAGCTAATAAAAAATATTATTTGCATTAAATGATAATTTAATATTTCCAAATGGAGAAAGTTTTTATCATCGTTACCCTATCCCTACCCCTTTTATGGAATGGGTAATTGGAAAATGACTGGATAAAAATTGTTATTCATTCGTAACAAAAATGTAATATTTATACTCACAATTACGTGTACAAACATATGTTTGAGTGTCTGCCTGATGTCTGGTGGCCAGACAGACAGATCGATGGCTCAGACATGAAAAAAGTTCCTTCTGTTGGAGTAATAAATGAATGTAAATGTAGCGATGTGCATGTGGAGCATCCTTGGGGAAAAGAAGTGAGAACCATGATTAATAACCACGTTTAAGCAATTAGTTAGCTGAAGGAGAGAAAAAAAAAAACATTACACTGAGGAGCAAACAAAAATTTATCAATGAAGAGATATTCTACACCCCAATGGTTCCGGGTTAACTCGTTGGCTTTGACATTCCTGGTTTAATATTCGCTTATCTGGGCAACTGGAAGTTCATTAGTGTCCTTGGTTTCTGTTCTGTCTGCTGGCTAAATGGGAACTTTATTTTTGTCTTTATCTACAAATGGAAAGTTCACATAGTCTTGAGTGTAGCTGGCCACCTTTGGTCAGGACCAATGTGAGTCACATCATGTTGTGATTAATTAACCACAAACCCATAGTTGCAGATAGGAATCCGTCTAACTAGCGTTATGTTGGGCTTCATTCTATCCCCCGACATTCTGTCCATTCCATCTTTTATTCGACTGTCCGAATTTGTCGTATTCAGCAAATGTTTATTCGCTGACCAAAATGACGGTGATTAAGTCGTATTGTAATCTATTACACATGTCCACTTTTGGGTGCCACAAAAGCTTCTAGAGAACATGTCATAACAGGCATTCCACGAAATTCCTCGTTATGGAGCCATTTGTCTTGCAGACGAAACTTAAATAAACATCCATCCTTCGTCCTTGTGGCGTAGGGGGTAGACTATGACGAGGGTAGACTATTTGTTAACCGAAAAAAATGCTTAGCTGACTGGTCACAAACACTTGTTGAGAACACGGTCATTTTCTAGAGAGCAAACCCAAGCGAATAGTCCTAGTTCGAATGGCGTATCCAGTTAAAGAGCTACTCAGCAAGAAATGTAACCGTACAAAGGCAAATAGCTATCGTTGTACAACTCCTCCTTTTCTGAGTTACAACAAACAGATTTGATATTAAAATCCTCGTAAGCATTTTCGTCATGTGGATCTATATGTGTATGGCGACTTTGATAGTTCTGATGAGATACAATGGCTATAGGGGACAATCGCACACATTCTTACGCTCAGAAAAATTCGTAAGCATGGATTTTTAGGAATATTTTCAGGGTGGTATCAAAGCTTTAAAATTAGTTTTTTTAAGGAATATCTTTCGATGGCTATATAAGTGAGGACTATTAAAGAATATTTTCAGAGGACCTATCAGAGCTATAAACTAGGGTTTTTAAAGAAAAAATTCAGAAGGACTATCAAAGCTATAAGCGTAGATTTTTGAAGAATATTTTAAGATAGACCATCAGAGGTATATGCTTGGAATTTTAAATAATATTTTCTGAAGGACTATCGGCGCGATAAGCGTGGATTTTAAAGAATATTTTCAGAAGGACTTTCAGAGCAATAAGCCTGGATTTTTAAAACATATTTTCAGGAGAATCATCAGAGTTATGAGCGTGGATTTTTAAAGAATATTTTCTGAGGAACTTTCAGAGCTATAAGCGTGGATTTGTAAAGCGTATATTCAGGAGAATTGTCAGAACTATTACCATGGGTTTTAAAAGCATTTTTTCAGGAGAATTATCAGAAGGACTATCAGAGCTATAAGCGTGGATTTTTAAATAATACTTTCAGAAGGACTATCAGAGCTATAAGCGTGGACTTTTAAATAATACTTTCAGAAGGACTATCAGAGCTATAAGCGTGGATTTTTAAATAATACTTTCAGAAGGACTATCGAAGCTATAAGCGTGGACTTTTAAATAATACTTTCAGAAGGACTATCAGAGCTATAAGCGTGGACTTTTAAATAATACTTTCAGAAGGACGATCAGTGCTATAAGCGTGGACTTTTAAATAGTACTTTCAGAAGGACTATCAGAGCTATAACCGTGGACTTTTAAATAATACTTTCAGAAGAACGATCAGTGCTATAAGCGTGGACTTTTAAATAATACTTTCAGAAGGACTATCGAAGCCATAAGCGTGGATTTTTAAATAATACTTTCAGAAGGACTATCAGAGCTATAAGCGTGGACTTTTAAATAATACTTTCAGAAGGACTATCGAAGCCATAAGCGTGGATTTTTAAAGAATATTTTCAGAAGGACTATCGAAGCCATAAGCGTGGATTTTTAAATAATACTTTCAGAAGGACTATCAGAGCTATAAGCGTGGACTTTTAAATAATACTTTCAGAAGGACTATCGAAGCCATAAGCGTGGATTTTTAAAGAATATTTTCAGAAGGACTTTCAGAGCTATAAGCCTGGATTTTAAAACCATATTTTCAGGAGAATCATCAGAGTTATGAGAGTGGATTTTTAAAGAATATTTTCAGAAGAACTTTCAAAGCTATAACCGTGGATTTTTAAAGAATATTTTCAGAAGGACTTTCAGAGCTATAAGCCTGGATTTTTAAACCATATTTTCAGGAGAATCATCACAGTTGTGAGCGTGGATTTTTAAAGAATATTTTCAGAAGAACTTTCAGAAAAACCGTGGATTTTTAAAGAATATTTTCAGAAGGACTTTCAGAGCTATAAGCCTGGATTTTTAAACCATATTTTCAGGAGAATCATCAAAGTTATGAGCGTGGATTTTTAAAGAATATTTTCAGAAGAACTTTCAGAAAAACCGTGGATTTTTAAAGAATATTTTCAGAAGGACTTTCAGAGCTATAAGCCTGGATTTTTAAAACATACTTTCAGGAGAATCATCAGAGTTATGAGCGTGGATTTTTAAAGAATATTTTCAGAAAAACTTTCAGAGCTCTAAGCGTGGATTTTTAAAGCATATATTCAGGAGAATTCTCAGAACTATTACCATGGGTTTTTAAAGCATCTTTTCAAGAGAATTATCAGGATAATATGAGTGGATGTTTAAATAATACTTTCCGAAGGACTATCAGAGCTATAAGCGTGGACTTTTAAATAATACTTTCAGTAGGACTATCGGAGCCATAAACGTGGATTTTCAGTGCATATTTTCAGGAGAATTATTAGAGCTATGAGCGTGGACTTTTAAATAATACTTTCAGAAGGACTATCGAAGCCATAAGCGTGGATGTTCAGTGCATATTTTAGGAGAATTATTAGAGCTATGAGCGTGGACTTTTAAATAATACTTTCAGTAAGACTATCGGAGCCATAAGCGTGGATTTTCAGTGCATATTTTCAGGAGAATTATTAGAGCCATGAGCGTGGACTTTTAAATAATACTTTCAGAAGGACTATCGAAGCCATAAGCGTGGATGTTCAGTGCATATTTTAGGAGAATTATTAGAGCTATGAGCGTGGACTTTTAAATAATACTTTCAGTAAGACTATCGGAGCCATAAGCGTGGATTTTCAGTGCATATTTTCAGAAGAATTATTAGAGCTATGAGCGTGGACTTTTAAATAATACTTTCAGTAGGACTATCGGAGCCATAAGCGTGGATTTTCAGTGCATATTTTCAGGAGTATTATTATAACTATGAGCGTGGACTTTTAAATAATACTTTCAGTTGGACTATCGGAGTCATAAGCGTGGATTTTCAGTGCATATTTTCAGGAGAATTTGTAGAGCTATGAGCGTGGACTTTTAAACAATACTTTCAGTAGGACTATCGGAGCCATATGCGTGGATTTTCAGTGCATATGTTCATAAGAATTATTAGAGCTATGAGCTTGGATTTAAAAACCGTGGATTTTTTAATAATATTTTTAGAAGGACTATCAGAGCTAAAAACACGTGGACATTTATAGAATGCTTTCTAAAGGCTATCAGAGCTATAAGTGTGGACTTTTAAATAATACATTCAGAAGGACTTTCAGAGCTAAACACGGGATTTTTTTTAGAATATTTTTTAAAAACCTATCAAAGCTATCACACAGTTCGTGTTAGACCTTCGTACCTTAAATGCACAATTTGTTCAGCTTGACAAAAAATTTTAATAAAAACTTCATACATCGTACGGAATTTTTAGACTTTCAGGGATTTAAATATTAATCCAGCTTTTCCTTTTTGGAATGTATAATCGAAAAATGATTACTTTTAACACCAAAAAGTCTTCAAAATATTTCATTTTGAAGTCCGCCGAGAAGGATATTCGCAAGACTATTGCACAATGGACCCACATCCAATTATTCTGTACAAAAATATTTC